CCGTCCCTCTCATTTATGAAAAGAAGAATGAGTTGCTCAGAGATCTCACAACAAATTGGAAATCTAGGTTGGTAAAACCTTCACTTCAAATGTTGATAATGATATACCCATAAACAACCCAATTTGGGGAGCCATGTCATCTGCTGGTGTTGGTCCACTGTGCTTCATTAAGTCCAGGGTCAATGCAGCCGTCTACCAGGAGATTTTGGAGCACTTCATGCTTCCTTCTGCAGACCGGCTTTATGGGGGATGCTGACTTCATTTTCCAGCAAGACTTGGCACCTGCCCACACTGCCAAAAGCACCAAAACCTGGTTCAATGACCCTGGGATTACTGTGCTTGATTGGCCAGCAAACTCACCTGACCTGAACCCCATAGAGAATCTATGGGGCATTGCCAAGAGAAAGATGAGAGACATGAGACCGAACAATGCAGAAGAGCTGAAGGCCGCAATTGAAGCATCCTGGTCTTCCACCCTGCTGCACAGATCCCTCTGCTGTCTGGGGCCCCCTGTGTGCCTGGGCCCCCTACAGGAGGCCTGGTGATACCCCCTATCTGCAGCCCTGACAACGTTTGTGTGTCAGGGCCTACAGCACTACATGTATGACTAGTCCGACAAACTGAGTGCACATACATGGTTCCATACTTCCGTCCCTCTCATTTATGAAAAGAAGAATGGGTTGCTCAGAGATCTCACAACAAATTGGAAATCTAGGTTGGTAAAACCTTCACTTCAAATGTTGATAATGATATACCCATAAACAACCCAATTTTCACTCAAGCATTGTACTCTGCCCTCAATCGGGGCAGAATCAAGTTATTGTTATCTGGCTAAATCTGATGTGTTTGTGCAGTACTGGGGTCCTTGGTTTAAATCTCAAAAAGGACACTACCTTTATGGAGTTTGAAGGTCCCCCTATGCTTGTCTGAGTTTCCTCCCACACTCCAAAGACATGCTGGTAGGTTAATTGGCTCCTGTCTAATTTGATCCTAGTTTGTGTATATACAGGTGAAACTCAAAAAATTAGAATATCGTGCAAACGTTCATGTATTTCAGTGATGCAACTTAAAAGGTGAAACTAATATATGAGATAGACTCATTACATGCAAAGCAAGATAGTTCAAGCCGTGATTTGTCATCATTGTGATGATTATGGCTTACAGCTCATGAAAAACCCAAATCCATAATCTCAGAAAATTAGAATATTGTGAAAAGGTGCAATATTCTAGGCTCAAAGTGTCCCACTCTAATCAGCTAATTAAGCCATAACACCTGCAAAGGGTTCCTGAGCCTTTAAATGGTCTCTCAGTCTGGTTCAGTAGGAATAACAATTGTGGGAAAGACTGCTGACCTGACAGGTGTGCAGAAAACCATCATTGACACCCTCCATAAGGAGGGAAAGCCTCAAAAGGTAATTGCAATAGAAGTTGGATGTTCCCAAAGTGCTGCATCAAAGCACATTAATAGAAAGTTATTTGGAAGTGAAAAGTGTGGAAGAAAAAGGTACACAAGCAGCAGGGATGACCGCAGCCTGGAGAGGATTGTCAGGAAAAGGCCATTCAAAAGTGTTGGGGACTTTCACAAGGAGTGGACTGAGGCTGGAGTCAGTGTATCAAGAGCCACCACACACAGACGGATCCTGGACATGGGTATTCCTCTTGTCAAGCCGCTCCTGAACAACAAACAACGTCAGAAGCGTCTTACCTGGGCTAAAGAAAAACAGACCTGGTCTGTTGCTCAGTGGTCCAAAGTCCTCTTTTCTGATGAGAGCAACTTTTGCATCTCATTTGGAAACCAAGGACCCAGAGTATGGAGGAAGAATGGAGAGGCACACACTGCAAGATGCATGAAGTCCAGTGTGAAGTTTCCACAGTCTGTGTTGATTTGGGGAGCCATGTCATCTGCTGGTGTTGGTCCACTGTGCTTCATTAAGTCCAGGGTCAACGTAGCCGTCTACCAGGAGATTTTGAAGCATTTCAAGCTTCCTTCTGCAGACGAGCTTTATGCGGATGCTGACTTCATTTTTTAGCAGGACTTGGCACCTCCCCACACTGCCAAAAGCACCAAAACCTGGTTCAATGACCGTGGGATTACTGTGCTTGATTGGCCAGCAAACTCGCCTGACCTGAACCCCATAGAGAATCTATGGGGCATTGCCAAGAGAAATATGAGAGACATGAGACCAAACAATGCAGAAGAGCTGAAGGCTGCTATTGAAGCATCCTGGTCTTCTATAACACCTCAGCAGTGCCACAGGCTGATAGCTTCCATGCCACGCCGCATTGAGGCAGTAATTGCTGCAAAAGGGGCCCAAACCAAGTACTGAGTACATATGCATACTTATACTTATCAGAGGTCCGATATTGTTCTATGTACAATCCTTGTTTTATTGATTGCATGTAATATTCTCATTTTCTGAGATTGTGGATTTGGGGTTTTCATGAACTGTAAGCCATAATCATCACAATTATGACAAATCACGGCTTGAACTATCTTGCTTTGCATGTAATGAGTCTATCTCATATATTAGTTTCACCTTTTAAGTTGCTTTACTGAAATAAATGAACTTTTGCACGATATCCTAATTTTTCGAGTTTCACGTGTATGTATGCATATGTGGTAGGAAATTTGTAAGCACCTTTAGGACAAAAACTGATGTGAAGGTACAAAATACACCAACCAGCCATAGCCTTATGACCCTCTTTTGCAGCCCTGACCCATTGCAGCATGAATTCCACTTGATCTCTGAAGGTATGCTGTAGTATCTGGCACAATGTAGTCAGTAGAAGTCCTGCAAGCTGGGACCTCCACGGATTGGACTTGTTTTTCCAGCACATCCCACAGATGCTCGATGAATTGAGATTGGGAGAATATGGAGGCCAAGTCAACACCTTGAACTCATCACCTTAGGTGATCACAGCGGAAGTGGGAGCTGGTATCTGTCAAATTCAGTACGCACTCCCCAAAGGTGCCAATCCTTAACGGGGAGTGGGGGACAACGGCTTAAAGCGGAATTTCCCCTATTGGGTGGAGCTCCACTTTGACATTTAGCTGACTAAAGTTCAATTTTATCACAACATTTCAATGATAACAATGATGCTTACCTTCTTTATCTGCAAAGCTGTGTCTCCTTCTGATCCAAGCAACACTAGAAACAGTGAGGCAGCAAGGCTCAAAGGGGAGCAGAGAATATTGCTATCAATGTCAGAGCTGTTTATTTCTTTCAAAATGTCCAATGCAAAATTACCGATGCTTTTAGTCATGGGTTCCATGGTCTCCTAAATTACACTGACAGATAAAAGCAGATTGATTAATTCACCAGCATATTTTATAGTTCATGGGGTTGATATACTAAAATAATCCTATTAAGAGGGATTTAATATAGTAGAAAATGCTCATGCAACAACAGCAACATAAAAGTGTTCAATTATCTATTGTTTCTTTAGTCATCAAATCATGATCAAGCAAAAGCTTTTTTTTTTTTTTTAATTTCTCCTGCATTGCTTCACTTTATTCAGTAAAGTATATGTAAACCCTTACCTTGTAAAACAACCCATGCAGTTTAAAATGGAAATGAAAGGAAAAAACATTTGTGTATATATAGGTGGTCACATTTCCTCTGCTCTCAGGTGCATAAGAGCTGAGGGAGGGGAAACAGCAGCACACTAATCTTCCCAGTGAATGGCTATGTGTGTGGGGTGGGGGAGGGTGTCAGGACAAGTCAGATCATTGAATGAGAGTGGCCTGAGTTCCTGACACAGCTAGAGAACTGACCACCCTGTGCTCTTATGCCTAGTGTGATCAGTTTTTTAATAGGAAAGAAGATGGACTAGCAGGGACTCCGGGGTTTTCATACATAGAAGGCAAAACAAAGGGAATGGTACTTTTTCATACAAGTACATGGTACAGCAGACATACATCAGGAATATGAAATGTTGGGTTTAGGTAGGTAAACATTTTACTTTGCTAAGTGTAAATTCTCTACCATGGGGTTTTTCTGACCAAGGCTCGTGCAGAGATTGTCAGGGGCTCCTTGAACTTTTTTCCCCTGATCACCAATATAAAGAAGCATTTCTCCAATAACCGCCAATGTTATGGAGCACTTTTCACTTTACTGTAAGAGGACAATTTTTATAGACTGTGCTTTTTTTCTGGCCATTATTTATTTATCTTTGTATAGAGCAAATGAGTGTTTAGCTCTCAGCTCTGGGTGGCAAGAGCAAGGATTGTTTAACTGTTCAGCTCTGGGTGGCAAATATTCTAGATATGGCAAATAATATATTCTTTTATTTAAAACTTTCGACAGCTTACTGATCACTTTCACACGGGGCGGACCCGTTTAGCGAATCCGCTTGCTCAGCAGGGATCTCTCCGCTGATCCCCACTGAGCAAGCGGATGACAGGTCTGTGTCCGCTCCGCTACTGCAGAGCAGACACAGAGCAGCTCACTCTCCTCAATGGGCGGTCAGATGAAAAGGAAATGCCTGTCCATTTCCATCTGACCCGATCCAACGGACAGAAGGGAAATTGGATCCCAATCTGTCTCATTTTTGTGGGCTGGAATGTATTGGATCTCAGCGGGTGCAAACGGACACATGTCTGTTTACACCCACCGCTCCATAGAGAAGAATGGAGGTTCTGATCTGGTCTTCCTGAAAAACGGGCAGGCAGACCCGATTGGAACGTCCATGTGAAAGAGGCCTTACTGAGGAAATTTTTAGCAGTGGTTCCCTGAGGCCTCAAATCATTTCAAGGGTATTATCAGGGTTAAAATAAAAGTTAAGAAAGGCTGTTCCACCTTAATAAATTCCTCTCATGTTTAGAATATTGAAAAATGTCACTGTGATACTTTTTTTTCTTCAGATGAGTTATAATAATTTAAATAATGACCTAGTCCAGGGGTTTTCAAACTGTGGCCCGCGGGCAGAATGTGGCCCTTTGCTTGCCTTTATCTGGCCCTTAGGGCACTATCCCTCCCACTGACACCAAAGACAGAACACTATGTCTCCCACTGACAACAACAATGGGACACTGTTCCTTCCACTGACACAGACGATGGGGTACTATTCCTCCCACTGACACCAGCGATGGGGCACTATTCCTTCCACTGACACCAGTGATGAATGGGACACTATTCCTTCCACTGACACCAATGATGGGGCATTATTCCTCCCACTGGCACCAACGATGTGGCATTATTCCTCCCACTGACACCAATGATGGGGCACTATTCCTCCCACTGACACCAATGATGGGGCACTATTCCTCCACTGACACCAATGATGGGGCACTATGCCTCCCACTGACACCAGTGATGAGACACTATTCCTTCCACTGACACCAATAATGGGGCACTATTCCTCCAACTGACACCAGTGATGAGGCACTATTCCTTCCACTGACACCAATGATGGGGAACTATTCCTCCCACTGAAACCAATTTTTTTTACTCCCACTGACCACCAAGCCTATGGCACTTTCTACTCCCACTGGTCACAGTCCGGCCCCCCTGAAGCTTGAAGGGCAGTAAACCAGACCTTTGTTTTGAAAGTTTGGAGACCCCTGATCTAGTCAACCTAGGATGGTTTGCTTACTATCCAAACCAAACTTCATATCAGCCATGTCATTCCATGTGAACTAATCAATCCAGGTGTGCAAACAATATATACAGCTGAAGATATTAATAAACATGGTTCCTATTAGAACTGAAGGGCTAGGTTCCCGTATAATTTCCCTTCTAAGTGAGGGATTGTTTTTTTAGTGAAAGTGTGGCTGTATCTGCTCTATCTAGCTTGTTTTGCATCCTCAACAGTGGGAAATGAATAATGCATCCATGAAATAAAAATTGAGGGGTAGAAGGAGCATATGCCTTATGGCGATATAACAGAACAAATTATTTATAAGGAGATAAACAAGAAAGAAAGGGAAAAAGGAAAAAAAGAAAGATAGATTCGGGAGTGGGCTTTCAATACTTTGCAGCACTTTAGAGGAAGTATGTCTTCTTAAAATAGAAGGGGAAATCAGCTCCAATTAATTGTTCCATTGTACATTGTCTTGTAGCATGATGGGAATATATACAATCTTGAACTCAGTGTTTCAAAGTACATATAATTAAACAGGTTAGGCCAGAAAGGGCGTGTTAAACTGCCTTATTTAACAAAGCTTCAAACAGATTTCAACTTGTTCAGCCTCACCTAGATTTTTTACAATCTTGATGCACCACATACAAATTTGTAACATATAATATAGAAAACATGATATCTATTGGATTCAAGGAAGCTTTTGTAGTCTGGCATTCTGTTTGTTATGTTTGTGATGTTATCAACATTTCATTTTCTTTTAGATTGGTCTCAAATGGGAAGCAGAGAAAGCATATAAGAGTATGTGCAGGAGGAGGGGTAGGGAGTGTATGGCGTTGGATAGTATGTGCAGGGAGAGGGGTATGGAGTGTGGTGATCTGAAGGGAGAGGGGTAGGGAGTGTATGGCGGTGGATATAGTGTGTGCAGGGAGAGGGGTATGGAGTGTATGGCGGTGGATAGTATGTGCAGGGAGAGGGGTGTGACGATTGCGGTGTCAGACCCCAGCCCTTCTCACCAAACTCACCAATCTAAAACCACACTGTCACGTGCGTAACAATGATACGCCCAGCTGCACCCTGCACAAAGATTTCCAGCTAATGGACCACAATCTGTGTGCTTGCAGCCTGGGAGTGATTGTTACTGGGTCAGGTTAATTACGCAATTAACCCTTCACACACTGCCACCACCTCCTTTTTGTACAGAGACAGAGGAAACTCAGCAATATCAGCAATAACACTATGATGGTTGAATAATCGTCTGTATACCACTGTCACCGCAGGCAGGTTATACAGAGGTTTAAACACACACAGTAGCGCTCTTCAGAGACAGGGGTCTTTAGTTTGCATTAAAGAGCTTTAGAAACAGTTCAACACTTTCAGAAGGCAAGATTTATTACTAAAAGGTCAAAAGGGTGCAATCAACATATTTACAGAAAAAAGATGTAGCCAATATATATATATAAATATACAGAGAGCAATAACACAGCAAAGAGATAACAGAAAGAAATTTAGGGAGGTAACGTACTTGCCAAACGTCCTGGTTTAAGCAGATAAAGTTTCCTGAGCCAAAAGGGTGCCTTATCTCCTAAAGTTAGTTCCGATGTTAAAAGGGAGAATCTTTAACTTAGCTCAACTCAGCTCAGCTTAACTCCAAGCATAACAGCCTTTTTCCAGGAACTCAGCAGGGTGTCTCCTTAAAGCAGAGAACCAATCGCCTCATTTGGGGAGGGGTGTTGTAGGCGGGGAGCTCAGGCTATTACCAAATCCCTTGCAAATTATACTATGGTCAATAACTTTTCCTAGGTACCTGTAACATTCTATCCACGGGTAGATTAATATGCAGGATCATCTGCTGAACATCTAGATATGAAAGATGACATACCTGCTGGGATGGTTAAGGAGATATCATTTTCTGTTCTCCTGTTTGTGTCAGCTAGGGGGTGTAATATATCAGACGACTTGTATTAAAGTGACCGGTCTGAATATATGCCTGGTTTTTATTTAAGTCTTTCATATTCCAAGATACAGTCATGGCCGAAATTGTTGGCACCCTTGATATTTCTCCAGGAAATCATGTATTTCTCACGAAACGTATTGCATTAACACATGTTTTGCTATACACATGTTTATTCCCTTTGTGTGTATTGGGACAAAACAAAAAAAGGGAGGAAAGAAAGCAAATTCGACATAATGTCACACAAACCTCCAAAAATGGGCTGGACAAAAGTATTGGCACCCTTTCACAACTGCGGATAAATAAGAATGTTACAAGCATGTGATGCTCCTGTAAACTCACCTGGGGCAAGTAACAGGTGTGGGCAATATAGAAATCACACCTGAAAGCAGATAAAAAGGAGAGACGTTCACTTAACCTTTGCATTGTGTGTCTGTCTGTGCCACACTAAGCATGGACAACAGAAAGAGGAGACGAGAACTGTCTGAGGACCTGAGAACCAAAATTGTGGCAAAATATCAACAATCTCAAGGTTACAAGTCCATCTCCAGAGAACTAGATTTGCCTTTGTCCACAGTGCGCAACATTATCAAGAAGTTTGCAACCCATGGCACTGTAGCTAATCTCCCTGGTCGTGGACGGATGAGGAAAATTGATGAAAGATTGCAACGCAGAATAGTCCGGATGGTGGATAAGCAGCCCCAAACATGTTCCAAAGACATTCAAGCTGTCCTGCAGGCTCAGGGAGCATCAGTGTCAGCGCGAACTATCCGTCGACATTTAAATGAAATGAAACGCTATGGCAGGAGACCCAGGAGGACCCCCACTGCTGACACAGAGACATAAAAAAGCAAGACTACAGTTTGCCAAAATGTACTTGAGTAAGCCAAAAGCCTTCTGGGAAAACGTCTTGTGGACAGATGAGACCAAGATAGAGCTTTTCGGTAAAGCACATCATTCTACTGTTTACCGAAAACGGAATGAGGCCTACAAAGAACAAAACACAGTACCTACGGTAAAATATGGTGGAGGTTCAATGATGTTTTGGGGTTGTTTTGCTGCCTCTGGCACTGGGTGCCTTGACTGTGTGCAAGGCATCATGAAATCTGAGGATTACCAAAGGATTTTGGGTCGCACTGTAGGGCCCAGTGTCAGAAAGCTGGGTTTGCGTCCAAGATCCTGGGTCTTCCAGCAGGACAATGACCCCAAACATACGTCAAAAAGCACTCAGAAATGGATGGCAAAGAAGCGCTGGAGAGTTCTGAAGTGGCCAGCAATGAGCCCAGATCTAAATCCCATTGAACACCTGTGGAGAGATCTTAAAATTGCTGTTGGGAAAAGGTGTCCTTCCAATAAGAGAGACCTGGAGCTGTTTGCAAAGGAAGAGTGGTCCAAAATTCCGGGTGAGAGGTGTCAGAAGCTTATTGATGGTTATAGGAAGCGACTGATTTCAGTTATGTTTTCCAAAGGGTGTGCAACCAAATATTAAGTTAAGGGGTGCCAATACTTTTGTCCAGCCCATTTTTGGGGTTTTGTGTGACATTATGTCATATTTGCTTTTCTGCCTCTGTTTTATATTTGTTCCAATACATACAAAGGGAATAAACATGTGTATAGCAAAACATGTGTTAATGCAATACCTTTTTTGTGTGAAATACTTGATTTTCAGGAAAAATATCAAGGGTGCCAACAATTTCGGCCATGACTGTATGTAATCATAGGGGAAAGTGGATGTTGAATGTGATGTCTGCTTTATGGCTTATCTGGAATCTCTTTGAGGCTCAGCGAAGGACTGGTTTATGGTTTTACGATCCTTTTCCAAGCAGAGTCTCGCAGACATCTTGGGGCCAGGCTAGTTGGGGTTTATAGCCATGAGCTCTCCCGCTGGGCCTTGATGCCTTTTTGAACTCAGCATCCAGGGACCACGTGTCACTCAACAGAGAGGGAGGGGGGATCTGGAGGAGATAGATACAAGATGGAGGGTTTGGAGCAACATGGATGACTGCGTCCATCTCTGTGTGCACGATTGCTACTGAGCGGTATGGAGTGTGGTGGGTATGATGTGCAGGGAGAGGGGTACGGAGTATATGGCGGTGGATAGTATGTGCAGGGAGAGGATTATGGAGTGTGGTGGGTATTTTGTGCAGGGAGAGGGGTACGGAGTGTATGGCGGTGGATAATATGTGCAGGGAGAGGGGTATGGAGTGTGGTGGGTATGATGTGCAGGGAGAGGGGTACGGAGTGTATGGCAGTGGATAGTATGTGCAGGGAGAGGGGTATGGAGTATGGTGGGTATGATTTGCAGGGAGACGGGTACAGAGTGTATGGCGGTGGATAGTATGTGCAGGGAGAGGGGTATGGAGTGTGGTGGGTATGATGTGCAGGGAGAGGGGTACAGAGTGTATGGAGGAGGATAGTATGTGCAGGTAGAGGGGTATGGAGTGTGGTGGGTATGATGTGCAGGGAGAGGGGTACGGAGTGTATGTGCGGTGGATAGTATGTGCAGGGAGAGGGGTATGGAGTGTGGTGGGTATGATGTGCAGGGAGAGGGGTACGGAGTGTATGGCGGTGGATAGTATGTGCAGGGAGAGGGGTATGGGGTGTGGTGGGTATTATGTGCAGGGAGAGGGGTTACGGAGTGTATGGCGGTAGATAGTATGTGCAGGGAGAAGGGTATGGAGTGTGGTGGGTATGATGTGCAGGGAGAGGGGTACGGAGTGTATGGCGGTGGATAGTATGTGCAAGGAGAGGGGTATGGAGTGTATGGCGGTGGATATTATGTGCAGGGAGAGGGGTATGGAGTGTATGGCAGTGGATAGTATGTGCAGGGAGAGGGGTATGGAGTGTGGTGGGTATGATGTGCAGGGAGAGGGGTATGGAGTGTATGGCGGTGGATAGTATGTGCAGGGAGAGGGGTATGGAGTGTGGTGGGTATGATGTGCAGGGAGAGGAGTAGGGAGTGTACGGCAGTGGATAGTATGTGCAGGGAGAGGGGTGTATGGCGGTGGGTAGTATGTGCAGAGAGAGTGGTGTGGAATATATGGCAGTGGGTAGTATGTGAAGGGAGAGAAGTGTGGAGTGTATGGCGGC